GCTGGCTGGGAGTCCTCGGTCTCCTGTGATCCTCTGGTCCACAGGAGCCAATCTCAGGCTTATGACTGAGAGAGGGGCTGCGCGTCACCTCCCCCATCGCATCCCTTCCCCTCCGTCCCCTCTGGGTGGCCAGTCCCCGGTCCTTGGTTCTCTTGCTCTCCAGGCCCCTTTCCACTCCGCTAGCACCTCCTGGGAAGCTGCCCAACTGTGTTGGCAGATCGCCACCTTCCTCTCTCTGTGCCCGGCCTTCCTCCCTCCCGCTCAGGCCCAGGGGGCTTATCCAGAAGGCTCGTTAATAACGAGCCCGCAGGGACTGCTGGGTGTGCGTGAGCGGGTGAGACGATGGACTCCACAGGGAGCATTTGCGAGCCCGGCACCCTGCCTCTGTGCCAGCTCAGCTTCTCCCATTGGGTGAGCCTGGGCACTGCACCTTTTCTGTACCTCAGTTTCCCCTTGGTGAAAGAGGTACAAGAATAACACTTATCTCACCAGTGGTAAGAGTCAAGTAAATTAAAACACGGGAAGCACATAGCAAAACACCTCGCACGGAGCAGTGCTCAGCACACATCAGCTAGCGCCACCGCTCTTGTTACCGTGGCTTCTCCCAGCGGCATCAGCGCTGGATGAAAGGCCTTTCTCGCCCTGGCCGGTTTGGCTCAGTGGATAGAGCGTTGGCCTGCGGACTGGAGGGTCCCAGGTTCGATTCTGGCCGGGGGTACATGCCTGGGTTGCAGACTCGATCCCCAGTGGCGGGGAGGGGGCATGCAGGAGGCAGCTGATCAGTGATTCTCTCTCATCATTGATGTTTCTATCTCTCCCTCTCCCTTCCTCTCTGAAATCAATAAAAATAATTTTTTTTTTTTAAAAAAAAGGCCTTTCTCCCGCCAACTCGGGAACTTCCCATCATTTCCAACACAGGCCCCTCCCTCGGGGGTGCTGGGTCAGGGATGGGCTACAGATGGGCTGCTCTCCCTGCTGGTCATCTCTGCCCATTCCCTTTTCTCCACGTCCCAGGCCCAACCCCTGAACTTCTAAGCATGACCTCCTAGGCCGCTCACAACCTGCTGTCTGTGCTTCTGTCTGGAGTACCCTCCCCTCCCGTCCTCAGCTGGGATAGCCTTCCTCCGGGAGCCTCTTCAGATACCCCCACCCTCCTCTCTGCTCCCCCCTCCCCCTGCACATCCTTCCATAACCACCACCATCGAGACTGCTGCTGGCCGTACCATGCCTTTGGGCAAAGTAAGAAAAGGCACCCTTACTTCAAAACGCTCTGCCGCCTGCTGGGAGGCCTTCAGAATTGACCTGCCAGCCAGGAGCGTCTGCCGTGAAGGGCGTCGGTCCTGGAGGAGCCCGGGCAGCACCGGAGCTGTGGGAACATTCCCTGTGCCAGGCGCTGAGCTGGGCGTCGCGCTGGGCGCCTCGTGTCAAGTACCGTTCACCCCCACCAGGGAAACGGTTCGTTTCAAAGGCGAGCAAAGTGAAGCTCCGAGACTACAACCGGCGTCATGTGACCTGTAAGTGGCAGAGCCAGAGTTTGAACTCCCAAGCACCCAGGGAGGTAATGGCCTCCACCAAGCCCTCACCCAGCTGCCACGCATACATCTGCCTGGGGTGCTGGTGTGAACTCCTCCAGGTGGGGACCCCGTCTCAGCTGCTGCCAAAGGCCCGGAGACCTGCCGGGCAGCAGAGTGGGCAGCGTCACGTGTGCTGTCGGAAGGAGCCTGTTTGCAGAGCACGGGGGTTCCAGGGGCTAGGGCCTGTCCCCCCGGGATGTGGCTGAAGCTGGAGACGTTTGGAACAAGGTGTCCCAGAGGCCCCTTGCTCAGCCCCTGAAGGCTAACATCCAACTCGGTGCTTACGTAGGGTCTGCCCTCGCTCCTACGTCAAAAGAGAGCCGAAACCGGTGTGGCTCAGTGGATAGAGAGTCGGTCTGCGGACTGAAAGGTCCCAGGATCGATTCTGGTCAAGGGCATGTACCTGGATGGCGGGTACATCCCCAGTAGGGGGTGTGCAGGAGGCAGCTGGTCAATGTTTCTCTCTCATCAACATTTCTAGCTCTCTATCCCTCTCTCTTTCTCTTGTGGAAAATCAATAAAATATATTAAAGAGAGAGAGAGAGAGAGAGAGAGAGAGAGAGAGAGAAAGAGAAACTGCCTCCCAGGCCTGATGTTTCCCGTCAGTGCCGGATCCAGATTTCTCTGAGCACAGCATCGGGCTCTCTGCTCAATGGGCAGGTTTATAAAGGAGCCCACGGGCCTGAGGGCCAGGGAAGCAGGAGAGGCCTGTGAAGGCAGATCAGAAAGACACCCAGAGCAAGAGAGGATGTTTCTGGGAAACGTATGGCCAGAGGCCAGGGCTAGAGACAGGGAGACGGGGACAGTGGCAGACACCCTGTTGGCCTGGGGACCAGACCGTGCTTGTCTTTGAGTCTAGTACAATTCTCGACTGTGTTTAATGCGAAAGTCTAATTATGCATTTGCATGTCCTTAAGGGTTGCCTTTCCAGAACTCCACTGCTAAAAAGCGGGGTGCTATCAAAACAGCCCCCTTTCAAGTCTACTGCGTGTCATACAACCCTTGCAATCTTCGTTACCCAAACAGGCCCCTGATGGTCTTCTTCTTCTTTAAAAAAAATATATTTTATTGTTTTTTTACAGAGAGGAAGGGAGATAGAAAGTTAGGAACATCGATGAGAGAGTCATCAATCAGCTGCCTCCTGTACCCCCCCTTACTGGGGATGTGCCTGCAACCAAGGTACATGCCCTTGACCGGAATCAAACCCGGGACCCTTCAGTCCGCAGGCCGACGCTCTATCCACTGAGCCACACCGGTTTCAGGGCTGATGGTCTTCTTGAAGAATAAAGAGAAGCTGCTAGCAATGTTTTGCTTTCTTCATTTGACATTCTTTGTGGGGAAGGCCCTGGGTGTCAGCCTGGCATGGGGCACGTGAACTTCTTTATTCGAATGGCCCTGTGATAGCACTTAGGATACTTATTCTTTCTTCTTTTTAAATCCTCACTGGAGGATATTTTTACATTGAAGTTTAGAGAGAGTGGAAGAGAGAGGGAAAGACAGAGAAATAGCGATGTGAGAGAAGCACATCGATTGGCTGCCTCCTGCAGGAGCCCTGACCAGGGCCTGGGCTGGGGAGGAGCCTGCAACTGAGGTCCGTGCCCTTGACTGGAATTGAACCCGGGACCCTTCGCTCCACAGGCTGACACTCTATCCCTGAGTGTGACCCGGAGTGTCACATAATCTTTACAAGTCTCAGTTCCCTCACCCATAACAGGGCACCTATCTCATGTATAAATCTCCCGAACAGTGGCTGGCACCCAGTACACCACATGAGCCATGCTTGCTTGCCGATACGTCAACGTCACTGTACACTGTAAAGTAGAAAACAAAGTCACAGAAAGAGTCCTGACTCTCTGCTAGTTTTAAGCGAGGTTTCATTTGAAGGTGCTGAGCGCCGTGCTGCACGAAAGGACACTCTGGGCAGGGAGTGGTCCTCATTCACATCAGGACTGTAGGCAGGCCCGTGGGAAGCCAGTGACTCAAGAGGAGGTGAAGTCCTGAGGTCAGCACCTCCCTACCTGGAGTGATCCTCCCTCTGCCCGAGGAGCACTGTTTGGTTCTAACCCCGAGTCCTTCCTCTTCCTCAACTGTCTGCTCCCGTTTCTTTTTTATTTTATTTATTTATCATTATTTTTATTTTATTTTTAAAAATTATTATCTGTGTACATATTTTACCATTGCCCCTTCCCCCTTGTCTGCTCCCGTCCCAACGTCCGCCCCTGAGCTCCACAGAGAGGCTCTGGGGCCTCACCTGCGCCCCTGTCAGAGATGACGCCCCTGTCAGAGATGGCGTCCCTGTCAGAGATGATGTCCCTGTCAGAGATGACGCCCCTGTCAGAGATGGCGTCCCTGTCAGAGATGACGCCCCTGTCAGAGATGGTGTCCCTGTCAGAGATGACGTCCCTGTCAGAGATGACGCCCCTGTCAGAGATGGCGCCCCTGTCAGAGATGACGCCCCTGTCAGAGATGACGTCCCTGTCAGAGATGGCGTCCCTGTCAGAGATGGCGTCCCTGTCAGAGATGACGCCCCTGTCAGAGATGGCGCCCCTGTCAGAGATGACGCCCCTGTCAGAGATGACGTCCCTGTCAGAGATGACGCCCCTGTCAGAGATGACGTCCCTGTCAGAGATGGCGTCCCTGTCAGAGATGATGTCCCTGTCAGAGATGACGCCCCTGTCAGAGATGGCGTCCCTGTCAGAGATGACGCCCCTGTCAGAGATGACGCCCCTGTCAGAGATGGCGTCCCTGTCAGAGATGACGTCCCTGTCAGAGATGGCGTCCCTGTCAGAGATGACGCTGTAGCTGCTGCTGAACTGAATGAAAATGATTTACATTTTCCCAAAGGAAATGAGCGGGGCTGAGGTGGCCGCGTCCATCAGGGGGTGGACTGAGGCTGGCACAGCTATTCCTGGGCACCTGCCTCACCCAACGCGGGAAATCTGGCTTTCAGTGACTGCCACCAAGCTGCACATTTGAGAGATTTTTTTTATTTTATTAAAAAACAGAAACAAAACAAAAAGCCCAACCCAAGAACTCTTGGTTCTGGGAGTCTGGGAGCAGCTTAGGTCTGAGGTGAGCGTGGAACCTGGAAGACAGATGGGGGGGACCTCTGGCCCCTGAGAGGGAAGGCGAGGGCTCTGGGGCTGCCGGGCCCACGGGCTCTGGAAGCGGGTGGAGGGCGGCTCAGCCCAGAAACGGGTCGGGCAGCACTGGGCAGCCCAGACTTCCAGCCGGGAAGGAGGAGGGCACGCCCGGGGCTCTCAGCTCCTCCGGAGCACGGGGTTCAGCCCGCCCCAGGGAGGCGGCTCAGATAGGGCGAGGCACCCCTTCCCCGCCTTCCCCCCTACAGCGTGGGGCTTGGGCCCCTCGGAAGTGGGGTCCTGATGGGCAGGGCCTGGAGGCAGCCCTCAGCCTGGCTCCCGGGGCTCAGGGGCCTTGCGGGCCGCGGGGCAGCGCCCGGATGGGCCTCGGCGGCGGCGGCGGCGGGTGGTCCAGGACGGGCTCGGGCCGGGGCCGCGCGGCCAGCCGGCGCTTCTGCTTGCGCAGCAGGTAGCTGGAGTACTGCACCTCGGGCATGGCCAGCTTGAGGCAGGCCTCGCTGGCCGGGCCGGCGCCGCTGCCGCCGGGCAGGTCGTAGCCCATGATGTCCACCTTGCGGCTGGGCTGCCAGGGCTGCAGCTGCTTGGTGCGGATCTGCGCGGCCGGCCGCAGCGCGGGCTCGTCGCCGAAGCAGCGGCGCAGCAGGCGCTCGCGGGCCGCGCGCAGCTCGCGCGCCTCGCGCTCCACGCACGCGCGGCCGGCGCGCGCCACGCGGCGCCAGAAGCTGGCGTTGAAGTGCGCGTACAGCGCGGCGTCCAGCGCGTTCCAGGCGCGCGCCGCCCGCGCCAGCGCCTCGGGGACGGCGGCCAGGCGCGAGCCCGCGGCGCGCGCGTTGAGCTTGGCGTAGAGCACGTCGTCCAGGTCCCAGGCCAGCAGGCGCCGCAGCAGCACGAGCGACTCGTCGAAGTACTCGGCGATCATGACGAGCGAGAAGACCTCCTCCACGCGGCGGATGAGGCCCGCCAGGTAGGCGGGGTCGGCGCGCGGGCTGCGCTCGGGGTCGCCGCCCAGGTCGTAGGCCAGCGTGTTGTGCGCGAACATGGCGAAGTGCTCGCCCGCGCGGTAGTAGGCCTCGGGCGCGCGCAGGAAGGCCTCGAGCGACGCGTTGGGCACGCGCCGGAAGGCCGGGCAGTACTGGTTGTAGTAGGTGAACAGGGACTCGAACATGGCGGCGGGCTCGCGCAGGATGGTGACGTACACGGTGCCCGGCGGCATGAGGCCCTCGAGCTCGGCGCGGTCGAAGCGCAGGTGGCTGGCCAGCACGTGCGGCGGCCGCGTGGCCGGGTGCACGAAGCGCGCCGAGAAGTTGCGCGGGTAGCAGAACTGGTGCTCGCAGCGCGGGTGCGGCAGCGCCACCGTCAGGTTGTGGCGCTCGGCGAAGCGGAACAGGATGTTCTGCACCGTCGTGCCCGCCGTCTTGTGCGTCTTCAGGAAGGCCACGGTCAGGTGCTTGGGGCGCGGCGGCGAGTCCTGCAGGGGCGGGCAGCTCAGGGGGAACAGCCTGGGGTACCTGCGGGGAGGAGGGTGTGAGGGGGTGTGAGCCCAGCCCCTGCCCGAGGACTGGGGGGTGGGCCATGGGGCAGCCCGCGCTGAGCGCGGTAGAGGGGCATGGCAGGCAGCCTCTGAGATGACCCACGTGATCCCTGCTGGCCTCCTGGTATTCATGCCGCTGTATATTTCCTTCCCCTGGAGTATGGGCGGGGCTTATTGATGTCTCTAAGGACAGAGATGATGGATGTCACGCGTGTGATTGCACCATAAAAAGACCATGGCTTCCTATCTCCGTGTCTTATGTAGGACAACCCAGGTAGCGCGGTGAGCAAGCTGCCGTCCTGTGAGCCATCCTATGGGGAGGCATCCCGTGGCAACAGTTACCGAGGAACTGGGCCTTCAGTCCATCGCCCAGCTTGAGGAACGGAAGTCTGCCAACGACCACAATGAGAGAGCTTGGAAGGGGAGCCCGTCCAATCAGACCTTCAGATGAGACCTTCAGATCAGGCCCATGAGAGGCCTTGAGCAGAGGTACCCAGCTGAGCCCTACCTGGGTCCCCGACCCACACAAGTGAGATAATAAATGTTTGATGTGCTCAGCTGCTAGGTTTTGAGGTGCTTTGGTTACACAGAAACAGGTAACTAATAGGGGGAGAATGGCTTTGAGAGATCCTTGAGGAATTCCACTCTAAAAAGGAAGAAACAGGCTCAGAAGAAAAAAGTCATTTACGTAAGTCTGGCGACCCAGATGAGGTCACCACGTCCTCTTGCTCTCTCTTGTTTTTCACTTTTACTTTTTCACTGGCTCCTCGCCTTGTGGACGAGTGGCAAGGGCTTGGAGGCAACCCATTTGTCATATGATTCTGTTAAGACCTCTGGAGCTTCATTCGGCCAATATATATATATATTTTTTAATCATCTCCTACGTGCCAGGCACTGTTCTAGGCTCAAGAAATATGATAGTATAGAAAACAGCTAACAATCCTAGCCTTCACGAAGCTTTCATTTCTTTCCTCAATCCTGAAAGGATGTTTGAGTTTACAGATAAACCTGTAAGATCTTTTTAGACTTTGAGTCCCTCTCCTGTTCCTTTTCTACCACCCTGGTCATAATGAGGAAACGCTAAGCAGCTTTGAGAACACCATTGAGATTTCCCATCTGTGGCTGATTTGGGTTCAGGATAATGGCCACACAGAAGCCCCTTTAAAGACCAGCAAATTAGTGGGATTCCCACTCACATCATTCATGGCAGACCATGTAGAAATGGGAAAGTTGAGGCTCTGAGGGGTGCAGGCATTCACACATTGGGTTCACACGTGAGCTAGGAGTAGGGTCTGCTCCTATTAGTCACATGGTATCTGGTGTCAGGGGGATTAGCGAGGTCACCCATACCATCATTTCTATTTTACAGATGAGGACACAGGCTCAGAGAGGGAGAGGACTTGCCCAGCACAACAGGAGTAGTGAGGAGTTGTTTGCAGTCCTTGGGGGAGGCACTGGGTTTGGGCTGGATTCGAGTCCCCATTTAGTCACTGACTCACTCTATGACTTCGAGCACGTCACTCCCATTTTAATGAGATCAATCCATGCATTGGGGGGTTGTATGGATCTAAAGAGATGTGTGGTGCCTGGCCAGCGTGGCTCACTGAGCATCGACCTATGAACCAGGACAGGAGGTTATGGTTTGATTCCCGATCAGGGCACATGCCCAGGAGTGGGCTTGACCCCCAGTGTGTGGCATGTGGGAGGCAGCCAATCAATGATTCTCTCCCATCATTGATGTTTCTGTCTCTCTCTGAAATCAATATCAATCTATTTTTAAAAATAATAAAAAATAAAGAGACGTGTGGAAAGCACTTCAGGAGAGAGCGAAGGAACGAAGCCCAGCAGAAGGCACTCTCCTGGCCGGTGCAAGGAATGGAAGCAGGGCTCTCAGTCGTGGTGTTAACCAGGCAGCTGGCCCCCGGATACCACAGCGGCCCTGGGCCCCGCCCCCTCACCCGGGCCCCTGCTCCTTACCAGCTGAGCTGTGCGCCCTGGTGGATGAGGAGGCTCACGGTGCTGCACCCCAGCACCAGCAGCAGGATTTTCCTGCGGCTCATCATCTTGGTGGCCTGTTGCAGGCGCTGGAGGATGGGCATGACGGCGTGCCCGCCTGGACCAGCCAGGTCTCGCTATCCAGGACACCCACTGCCGGCCCTCATGGGGGCTCCTGAGGCTCCGGTAGCAGGGCCAGTGTTCCGGAGAGGCCTGGCAGGGGAAGGAGGCAAACAGGTTTGTATGGGCAGAGGAGATGGGCTCTCGGCCCCGGCACACTGCTGCAAAGGAGAGCTCCCGAGAGTGGGGTGAGCAGAGAGGCCAGGGAAGATCAGATTCCGGCCTCCCGTCACCAAGACCCTATCTCCACTCTGCTCCAGATAGCTGAGTCTTGGGTGGAATTACAGGCTCTGGGGTGTGGCCAGCCCTTCAGGCGATAGCCACTCCCTTAAGCCCTGTCTGCTTCTCTCTGTGCCCCCAATTCCTCTTTGTCTCGTGGCCATTGGTAGCTGTCTCCCCAGTAGACTCGGCTCAGATCACAGGAGTCTCAACTCAAGGTTTCTCCTCCTTACCTGATGGCTTCGGTGAAGGGCTGGTCTTGACCCCCCAGAAACTGAGCTCCTCAGAAACACTGGCCAAGCCTTCACCTTCTCAAGTCTCTGATGCAGGGACTCACTATTTGTACTATGCTATTGCATACTTCATCTCGTTTAATCACCTCAACCCTAACAGATATTATTCCCATTTTACAGACAAGGAAACTGAGGCTCTAAAAATGAAGCCCCTTGTCTGGGTCCCAGAGCTGGAATTAGCAGGATCCGGGATCAGACCTGCTCTTTCTGGCTCCAGAGTCCATCCCCTTAGACAGGTGTGCTGCTTCCACAGAGAGCTGGTTTCCCCAGCCTTCCCTGAACTCTGGCACTTCTGCCCGCTTCTGAGCCCTGAGCCCTCCTACCTGGGCTCCCGCTCTGAGGGTTCAAGACCAATGCATGAGGGAGAGAAAGGAAGGACTTGAAATCCCGGAACCCTATCTGGATTCCATCCCCAAACACCTGAAACCCTGGCCATGCCGGCTGCTTACTCTGCAGTGAGGCAGTGGATGGCAGCTTGGGCGCGGGGCAGGGTCTGGGGTGCGGAGGGGCTCCTGCTGAGGAACTCCTGGACCTGTGACAGGGCCTGTGACAGGTGAGAGGCAGAAGAGCCTGGTTTCTGGCCAGTCCCTTGTCCCCACACCTGAATGCTTTGGCTCAAGGGCAGCACAGCCCTTGGCACCTCCAGTGGACAGTCAGCTTCGGCAGCAGTGCCTGTCTGCTGGGGTGGGTCTCTGCCCCCTCGGCCTCAGACTCCAGCTTCTGGTTCAGCTTCAGCCTCCTGTACCCCCTCCGAAAGGGAGGGGGAGCCGGGACCTCACGGGCATGTGCATGTGGAACTAGGACACCCGAGTCCCAGGAGGGGTGAGGTAATGTGAAAACTCCTGACCATCACCTTTCCTGGGGGCCCTGGGCTTGGCTTCCACTCCCTCTTCTCCCCCCGCCCCCCAATTAATCCTGGATCACCCTGAAGCCTGATGGGGTGGGAAGATGCCTGGTTATGCCTTTCCCTCCCTTCCAGGCCCCAGCACCGTGTTCCCTCCATCAGCCGGCAGACAGACTTAATCCACCTGGAGCCAAGGGCGGTGAAGGGTCCAGCCACAGAGGACAACCAAGGAGAGGTTCACACACACACACACACACACACACACACACACACACACACGCTGGGGCAGGGGAGGGCTGGCTCTGTCTGGCTGGGCAGCCTTCAGGAGGAAGTCAGGATGGAGGCCTTCTTCCCTTTCGCCATTTATCCTGCCTACAAGACTTAGTGGCCAGACAGGAGTTCCCCGAAGGGGCAACGTGAGGGCCCAGCCTCTTCCCATCTTTGCTAAACTCCCTGAAACCACCCTGTTTTTCAGAGGATTCTGGGTTAGCCAACGATGTCAAGCCTGCAGGGAGCTCTAGTGGAATTTTCTCTGGGAAATGCTTCAACCAGGTCACACAGAGAAGGGCAATGGGCTGCGTGGTGGCCCCTCCATGCCACTCCCCGTAGCCCTGAGGAGCCAGCCAGCCGGACCCTGGGGTGAGGCTCACAAGAACTCCCCAGGCACCGGTTTCTGCGTGGCCACCATCTGTGACAGTGCTCATCCCCTCAGATACGCCTGGTCCATGTCCGAGCAGCACTGGCCGTTCTGGTTCTTTCTGGGATGGCTAGGCTCTTCGGCCAGTCCCCTTCCACCTTCCGCTCTGCATGTGGCTGCTGCCCTCCTCACCACACGGACCGTTTTCGCCATGACGGACCTTCAGGTGTTTGGAATCAGCACCCCGTCTCCTTTGGGTGGGCACCCAGCCAGCATCAACATTCCAGGTCTGAGAGTGCTGCCGAGCTGGCTCTGTCTGGCTGGGAGCCCCCTCCGCGGCAGGCTCAGTCCTTGGTGCCTCTCCTGGGGATGGATCGGGGTCCTGACACGGGGGGCTGTCTGCTCGTGGTCTCCAGCTGGTGTGGGTAGGCCTGCTGGGGCCAGGGCTGTCAGGCTTCAAACCTGCCAGGCTCCCCCTGTGTCCTCTTCACGGAGTGTCCCTCAGCCACCCAGCCAGGCCAGTGTGCCCAGCCTCACCGGAGTATCAGCGCTAATTTTAGTCAGGACAACCTCCCTCAGGCTGTGCCCGCTTTTGCAAATTGCCTTCCCTTCTCCAGGGAACCAAGGGAGAAATGAACAGCCAGCCAGAGCTCGGCAAACTGGCCTGGGTGCCCACCGGCTCCGGAGTGAGCCCTCTCTCCCCTCCAAGCGGAAGGACTAACGGGTGCCTTAGAGGAGGAGGGCGGCTGGCCTGGACCACCCGACCTGACAGCCTGACCTCTGGCTGACCTGGAGGCTCCATCCTCGGAGAGGATGGCACAGCCAGTGAACAGTTTCTCCCTCCGGATGGAAGGGCCAAAGGCTAAGGAGGTGCCAATGAGTGTCCCAGGAGATCAAATATCTTCCCGCCTCCCTCCTTCCCTCCCTTTCTCCTCCGCCTGCACCGGGTCCCTCCAGCCCCCTTCCCCGTCCCCAACGTCATCCCTGTATCCGAATTCCTCTCGCCTGCTCTCTCCATCACTCTCTGCCTCCCCCGCCTCCATTCCTTCAGTTCCATCCCCACCTCCCCCAGGGATCTGTCAGGGATCTGCTCGCCTTGGGGGACAGGCCAGAGTGGCCCCCTCGCCCAGTCCTCCCGCTCCCCAGACCCTGCGCCCCCCTCACGCTCTCCGGGCTCTGCGCCCCCAGGACACGCTCCCGCCCATCCTTCGCCCCGGTCCCGGCTGGTCTCCCCTCCTCCAGCCCAGGCTGGCTACCGCAGTACTCACGCGCGGGCTCTGCCTCCGTCCCGGTGGCGGGGGTCGCCGCTCCCCCCAGCCCCTTTCCTGAATCCGCTGCGGGTCCGCGCCGGGCCCTGCGCACCGAGCGCGCCGCTCGCCTCCCGCGCCGGGATGGGATCAGGTGGCGGCGTCCGCCGAGCGGCTCAGCTCAGGCTCTGCCGGCCGCCCGCCGCCCGCCCCCCATCGCACCCTGGAGGCGGGGCGGGGGCGGGGGCCGCGGCGGAGCCGGGAGGAGGAGGGGAAGGGGAGCGAGGGGAGGAGGGGGCAGCCCTGGCTGGCATCTTCTGATGCGGGCATCTTTCCCCGGCAACCTTGCCGAGTCCGGACACCAGTGGGGCAGCTCCTTGCCTCCCTCCTCAGAAGGGGACGTTTAGGTCCGGAAAGTGTCGGGGTGCTGTGGCATTGCTGGACACCCCTGGGTCCCACTGGTCAGCCTTGGGCTGGTGCGTCCTGCGGGAAGTGGGGGGGGGGGGGGCTGGAGCACAGGTACGGTACATCACAGCGCCCACACGCTCCCTCCCTCCTCTCCTCCTCTTTCCACCTCCAGACAGGAAGCATCATTGCAGCCCTGGGTCTGGCCCCCTCTGCCCTCATCTCCGGGGGAACCCTCTCTGCAGCCCCTGCTGCTGACCCACTCGCACCCTCCACCAGGACCCCAGACCCCCTCCCTCCTGACCAGAGCCTTAGCGGAGGGGAGGTGTTCTGAGCCCGCAGAGATGATACACGTGAAGATGATACTTTTGAGCTGGGGGGGGGGGGGGAGGCAGATCGTCTTGAATTTTCTACCGGTTCCAGGAGCGAGGCAGGAGCACCTCCCGGACACACAGTTCTCTGGCTCTCAGAGTCCCAGAGCCCTGCTTCCTCCCACCCTCTTGGCCTGGCATGGCAAGGGTCCCAGAGCTGAGGCAGCCACCCAAAGCTGGCACTGGAAGGGACTAGATTCCATTCCACACCCACACAGGTAGGTGCTGTGTGAGGGTCCTTACTGAGGAGGAGAAGGGAATGGGGACACTCAGGGTCAGGAGAACTGCTTGTCCCGGACTGGCTCCTCAGTCTTCCCCTCTGAACAATGGGGGACTCCCCTGCCTGGGTCCCAGGGATGTTGGGATAAAATGGGGCCCCACTAGGGTTGTTGCTTTCTGGCTAAGTCACACCACATCCTTGCCGATCAGCCCCTGGTTTATCCTGCCTGAGACCTCCAGCCTCTCCCCCAGCACATGCACACGCTTTGGGGCCTGCAGCCTCAGGTGACCCGTCGTTGGCTCTCCAGTTACAGGAGCAGAACGACCCTTCCTTTGTGTCAGGAAAGGTTCTGCTTGAGTGGGCTGACACGCTGCAGGGGAGGGCATAACTGTTCTTCTGTCCTTTCTGGTTTGGCTTCTCCTCTGGGAGTGGCAGGAGACTGAGTGGTGGTAGCGATAGAAGTGGGAAGGGTCAGGGTTTGGACAGGAGCAAAGAGAATTTCCTGGCCGGTCGCTTTTCCTGGCCAGGCCTCTTCTTTGTCTGTTATAGACCTCACACCTCCCCTGGACCTGACACCTTATTTTTTTCGCTGCTCCCAGCTATTTATTTCTTTGTTGGAGGCAGCCAGTGAATTGGAGCTTGTTAGAGATATGAAGGGTGTGGGTGTGTGGGGGAAATTAGACTATTTCACTTGAGTGTCCTGGCTCTACACACACACACACACACACACACACACACTCACACTCACGCTCCCTCACACTCACGGGTGCAATGAGCCTGTCCGTGCAGAGCTAGAATGGCAGAGGGACCTCAGTTAGCGGTAGAGGTGGGGAGAGGTGGCAGCGGGACAGGTAAGGGGTACCTGCCCATTTCTCCCTCAGGTGCACAGGCCAGCAGTGGGGGTTGTGTGTGTGTGTGGGGGGGGAGGCAGGGCAGGGTCGGTCCTCCAGGAGGCTGGTGGGGATGAGGGAAGAAAAGATCCTCAGTTTATTTTGGAGACTAAAGAAGACGAAAATAACGTCCCCCTCCCCAGTTATCATTTACTGAACGCCAGGCCCCTGCTCACGATCTCGGGGATGGAGGTGGGTAGAAGGGGCAAGAAAGACTTCAAAACCAACGGCGGGAGGTTTGTATGTATTATGAGAGCTCCCAGGAAGCAAAGGAAAACGGGAGCGGGCTTAGCGGAGGCGACCTTGGAGCCGGCCTGGAAGGTGGAGAAAGGGGCTTGACGTGTGGCCCTTCCCCCGGGCCCGCAGCTGGAGCTCAGCCCGGGCGGGCCGCTCCTCTGCCGGCTCCGATCCGATCCCCTTTCAGCGCATTCACCCACACCTGGGCCGGGGCGGGCGGGCAGACAACCAGACGCGGTTTTATCTCAGGCATCGGCTGCAACCTTCTGCTCCTGGCGCCCGCCACGCGCGGCGGCTGGGGAATCAGTCTCTCGGAGCTCCCAGGGAACGGGAGGGCCTCTCCCACTAGGTCAGGGGGTCGGAAGGCTAGCGGTCTGCGCTCAGGCCAGCCAGGCGCTGACAGCCAGCCCCGCGGCAGCGACCCGCTCTGCCCGCAGCCCCGCCCCGCGCCAGCCCCCAGTGCTCCCGGGGCAGTGGTCGGGAACCGAACTACAACTCCCAGAATGCTTTGCGACCATGGGAGACCGACAGGGGGCGGGCCTCTGTCCGAGCAGCCTTCCAATCCGGGAGGGACGTGGCGTTCCGCGCTGCCGGAAGTTCCGGGAAGTGGGCCCCGAAGCTGGCGTGAGCTTCCGTATGGGTCGCGCGCCTAGCTGCTGCTAAGATGGCGGCCGAGCATCCCGAGCCTCCCAAAGGAGAGTTGCAGCTGCCGCCGCCGCCACCTCCTGGCCATTATGGCGCCTGGGCTGTCCAGGAGCTTCAGGCCAAACTGGCAGAGATCGGAGCTCCGATCCAAGGTAAGGAGAACTGGAGATCAAGAGCCAGCCGCGTAGGCCTGCGGGGAAGCGGAGCCTGGTTACCCCGGAGATGGGGGGCGGAGGCGGGCTGCTGGGGCCTGACTTGGGCGGCGGGCCTGGCTCGGGCTCGGCTTGACTTACCGAATGGCTCTCTGCTTTGCACAGCAGGGAGTCGGGAGGAGCTAGTGGAGCGGCTGCAGAGCTACACGCGCCAGGTAAGTGTTGGCGGCGGGATGTCGGGGTAGCCAGCTTCTGGAGGAGGCCTAGCATGACCTCTCCACTCAGCCTTCGTTCTTTGTGTTCCTCCGCACAGCTAGCGGGGCTTCCCCCCCTTTTTGCCTGTTGTTGTCTTTACCTGCTCTCGTGTAACCGTTTCTGTACACCTACTGGTCTTCCCCAGTGCCCAGCCCGCGCTCCCGCAGACAGGCACTGGGTAAATTCCGTTGCATGGATGGGAGTGAGCATCCTTAGTGGAATAACTGCTCTTGGACTGACCTAGAGTTTCTCTTTTGCAGACTGGGATTGTACTGAATCGGCCGGTCCTAAGAGGTGAAGATGGGGACAAAGCAGCTCCCCCTCCCATGTCAGCGCAGGTACGATGGTGGCTCCACTCTTGCTTCCATAGGTCCTTCTCACAGGTGGTGTATTGGGGACGCAACTAGGAGATTGGGCAGGGAGGTGCTGCAATGACAAAATTAGGAGCTCTTCAATTCGACGTTGGTCCTGATCCTTGCATCCTCCCCAGCGTCTGGTCCTCCAAATTCTACTTATCATTTAAGATTTAGCTCAAATATTTGGAAGCCTGACTTGATTTATCTTCACCCCCCTAAACCAGTTGGAAGTAATGGCTGTCTTCTTTGCCCTCCTGGGGCACAGTTCCTGTATTCATTGAGACATTGGGGATCACTCCTTGATTTGATTTCATACCCTCTATGTTTACTGAGCCATTGGGTGACATGGCTCCCATTTATTTCAGTCCTCTCAGCTTCCATGTTCTTTCTGGTCCAGGGTTTTACTCTTTATTTACAGCAGTGGCTGTGTGCTGTGTCCTGGGATCCACTGGTTTCTGTGTGTGTGGGGTCAGGAGTTCTTAGATGGACTTTAGAGGTGTCCCTGAATCTCCTGAAATTGCATGCAAAATCTGTGTTCTTGCCAAGCTAGTGTGGCTCAATGGTTGAGGGGCAACCTATGAACCAGGAGGTCAGGATTCATTTCCGGGTCAGGGCACACCAATTGCAGCTTGATCCCCAGTAGGGATAGTGCAGGGGGTAGTCAATCAATGATTTTCATCAGTGATGTTTCTGTCTCTTTCCCTCTCCCTTCCTTTCTGAAACCAATAAAAATCTATTTTTTAAAATATGTGTTCACCCAAAAGATAGATATAGAAACAGTAAAGTAACAAGCAGACTGTCAAATTACATTGGGGAGGGGAGGGAGATCTGGGGGAGATAAGAGATCAACTGAAGGACTTGTATACATGCATATAAGTACAACCAATGGACACAAAACTCTGAAGAGGGTGGGTATGTATGGGGGGGGTAATGGTAAAATATGTACACAGATAATAATTTAATAAACAGCCGAGACCGGTGTGGCTCAGTGGATAGAGCGTCGGCTTGGGGACTGAAGGGACCCCGGTTCGATTCCGGTCAAGGGCATGTACCTGGGTTACGGGCATATCCCCAGTAGGGGGTGTGCAAGAGGCAGCTGATCGATGATTCTTTCTCATCGATGTTTCTAACTCTCTATCCCTCTCTCTTCCTCTCTGTGAAAAATCAATAAAATATATTTAAAAAAATAATTTAATAAACAATAAATAAAATCTGTGTTCATCATCATGCTGAGTGAAATAAGCCAGTCAATGAAAGAGAAACACCACATGACCTCACTCATTTATGGATAATAAAGAACATTATAAACTGATGAACCAAAAGACAGATATAGAGACAGTAAAGCAACAAGCAGACTGTCAAATTACAGAGATCTGGGGAAGATAAGAGATCAACCAAAGGACTTGTATACATCCATATAAGTACAACCAATGGACACAAAACTCTGGGGAGGGAGGGCATGCATAGGGGGGGCAATAGTATATGTACACAGATAATTTAATAAAAAATAAGTAAATAAAATCAAATCTGTGTTCATGATATTTTTCAGAGGAGAAATTCAATAGGTTTCATTGGTTGGTGCCCCAAAGTTAACATCTTTTCTTAATATTGCTATAGAGCATTGTCTTGAATATTAGAACTGTATGTCATTTGACTTAAGAGCCCCAGCACTTGCCAGGCAGTAGATAAATGCTTCCTAGATTGTGACCATGTATTTCTTCCACAGCTCACCGGGATCCCGATGCCACCGCCACCCATGGGCCTCCCCCCTCTGCAGCCTCCTCCACCGCCTCCGCCACCTCCACCAGGCCTTGGCCTTGGCTTTCCTATGGCAGTTGGACCCCGCCCACCAAACCTGGGGCCCCCACCGCAGCTCCGCGTGGGCGAGCCTGTGGCGCTGTCAGAGGAGGAGCGGCTGAAGCTGGCGCAGCAGCAGGCAGCGCTGTTGATGCAGCAGGAGGAGCGCGCCAAGCAGGTAGGGAGGGCAGCAGGCAGTCGGCCTGGGTCATGAAGGGAGAGCGAATCCGCAGAGAGAGATGGATTCTGGGGCCAGGCCTTCTGGACCAAAGACTGGCACGTAGGTCTTAGGCAGGAAGAGGAGCCCAGGCAGCAGAGTTGAGGCAGGCCGGCCTGTGGGCTGGCAGTGCAGGCGTCAGCGTGTTCTCTTCCTTTGGCAGGGAGATCATTCACTGAAGGAACATGAGCTCTTGGAGCAACAGAAGCGGGTAATACCCCTCATTTTGACCCCTGACCCCATGTTCCAGTTCTTTGGCTTTCACTTCTTGTGCTTAATGTCCAAAGCAAGATGCACCAAGTGAACATTGCCTCATCCTCAACCAAATTTCAGTATCTCCCAGATAATTTTCATCTTTCTTACACCTGAGGGCTTGCTAGCTGTGGCCTGCAACCTGTTTTTTGTATGGCCTGCAAGCTAAGAATTGTTTTTATATTTTTAGAGGATTGTTGAAAAGTAAAGAAGGAAAACCCAACAGTATACAAAGGAGTCCATACACTGGCTCAGTATTTACTCTCTGGCCCATTACAGAAAACATTGGCTGATCCCTTCCAGTCTTACGTGATGTCATTGTAGGCACCATGGAGGGGACTCTGGGCTAATGTAGTCATTTGTATTGGACTCGGACTGAGTGCGGTGGACGGAGGTTAGGGAACGGCACATGGGACACTTGGCCCCACAGGTGCATTGTGTCAGTTAGCTAACGGCTTTCTCGGAGTATTAGAAAACAGGCATTACCTGCACCAGACATGGGAGTGTTTATGAAGTGCTCTCTGCCCAGACTGTGCTAGATCTTGAGGGGTAGATATAAGAAAAGAATCCATTGTTTCTTTGAGATAACTAATCTTTCGGGAAGAAAGCTTTTGTTAAAAATAGAAGTCAGTGTCTAAGCTAAATAGTAAATTCTCTGCTAGGAATTTGAGCTTTTTCTCAGCATTATCGCCAGGGGTTTGGTTCTGTGGTGAGAGGGCTCCTCTGTGCGGATCAGTATCCAGGAAGTTGGGGGGCGGATGTGGGATTTCAGGACTCCAGTGGTACGTGTTTGTTCTTGGTCCTGTTACCTGGTGAGAGAATGCATTTGCCAGGAGCTGCCTGCTCAGTGGGTTTTCAGGCTGTGCCTCCACTTCCTTCTCACAGGCGGCTGTTCTCCTGGAGCAAGAGCGGCAGCAGGAGATTGCCAAGATGGGCAGCCCCGTGCCTCGACCCCCACAGGACATGGGCCAAATGGGCGTCCGCACGCCTCTGGGTCCCCGAGGTAAGACCTCAGAAATGGAAGGAAAGGGCAAGGAAAATGATGAAAATTTTATTTACTTAAGTATGTATCACATTTAAAATCTGTATGTGTCAAAGGTGAATTTTCATAAACTGAATACACCCGTTCAACCAGCACCTGGACCAAGAACCAAAACATTGCCAGCACCCCAAAAAACCCTTCTGGCTCTCTTCCAGCCACCCTCTCCCCCTAAGTGTAACCATCACTCTTTTTAAAAAATATATATCTTATTGATTTTCTTACAGAGAGGAAGAGAGAGGGATAGAGAGTTAGAAACATGGATGAGAGAGAATCATCGATCAGCTGCCTCTTGCACACCCCCTCTCCCCCCCACTGGGGATGTGCCTGCAACCAAGGCACATGCCCTTGACCTTTTAGTCCACAGGCCAACGCTCTATCCACTGAGCCAAACCGGTTGAAGCCAGCTGGTGGTGTCCGCTCCCCGTGTTTATGTCATGTAACCATCCCTTTTTTTTTTTCCTTTTGATTTATATATTTTATATTAAATTTTTTCTATGTACATATTTTACCATTGCCCCCCCCTCCCATACATACCCACCCTCCTCAGAGTTTTGTGTCCATTGGATCGCTCTTAACTTTTAGCATGCAAGGAAGGTAGTTTTTAAAATCAGTGTTTCTCTCTTTTTGTTGTTGTTATCTCTTCTCACGTTGGGTTTTGGATTTCTTTCTTAGTTGCTGCTCCAGTGGGCCCCACTCCTACTGTCCTGCCCATGGGGGCCCCGGTTCCCCGGCCTCGTGGCCCCCCGCCGCCCCCGGGAGATGAGAACAGAGAGGTGAGATGGGTGACTTCCTAGAGAGAGGGGAGTGTGGTTCAGAAGGGGACTGTTTCTGGATTTTTAGAAAAGGATTCTGAGGAGATGGGAAGACTTCTGGGGGTGGGGGTGAGGGTGAGGGGCATAGGTAATTCAGACATTTAGGCAGGGCAGGAAGACATTTCTGGGGCAGGGCTGTGTGCTTCGCTCTGCGGGATGCTGACGGGTGGTTGAGGCCAGCTGGTGGTGTCCGCTCCCTGCGTTTCTGTCATGTGGCCAGTAGCTTTCCTAGTAGGAGAGGTGGAAATTGCTGGGAAAGGGGCACTGAGATGACCTTCCTCTGCCTGGGGTGTCTCTGACAGATGGATGACCCCTCCGCGGGCCCCAAGATCCCCCAGGCTCTGGAAAAGATCCTGCAGCTGAAAGAGAGCCGCCAGGAAGAGCTGAGCTCTCAACAGGGTGCGTCACCGTCCCGAGGGCCGCAGGGGCGGGTGCCGAGGAGGGAGGGGTCACAGTGAGCAACAGCCGGGCAGCGGCCCTGAGAGACACTGATGGCCTCTTCCTCCCTTACAGAGGATGAGGAAATGGAGACAGACACACGCTCATCCCTGGGCCAGTCGGCGTCAGAGACCGAGGAGGACTCAGTGTCCATGTCCAAGAAGGAGGTATGGACGGAGCTGGGTGGAGGGAATGGCGGGAGATGGGATTTGGGCACGAACACAGCTCCCGTTCTAAGTGTTCAGGAAGCAGTGGCTGCTGGTACCGTTTCTGTCCCCAGCAGCATGTGGATAGTTTTGTTTGATTGCCGGGAGTCCTGAGTTCTGAGGACAGTGCATGCCTACATTTCAAAGATAAGCTGAGTTTCTGAGAAGTAGAGCAGTTCACCCAGAGGCGCGCAGCTGGAGAGGGACGGGATTTTGGAGTCTGACCCCAGGGCCTTTGCTCTCAGCCTCTTGGGGAAAAGGGAGGGCAGAGGTGGGGACAGGCCTGGTGTTGGGTTCGCTGGCCCATTGGCTTTACTTGTGGCAGAAAAACCGGAAGCGTCGGAACCGGAAGAAGAAGAAGAAGCCTCAGCGGGTACGAGGGGCGTCATCTGAGAGCTCTGGGGACCGAGAGAAAGAGTCAGCCCGGTCCCGCGGCTCTGAGTCCTCAGCGGCTGATGTGGAAATTGAATATGTGACCGAAGAGCCTGAAATCTATGAGCCCAACTTCATCTTCTTCAAGAGGATTTTTGAGGCTTTCAAGGTGCAGGAGCAGCCCTCGGAGGGGCGGGTTGGGCAGGGAAGGGGCACGGAGGGGGGAGGGAGAGAAGGAGGACATGCTCAGGGCCAGGCTCAGAAACAGGGAGGGCCCAGGGCTGGGGTTCCTACATTGTCTGCCTCCTCAGCTCACCGATGACGTGAAGAAGGAGAAAGAGAAGGAGCCAGAGAAACTCGACAAACTGGAGAACTCCGCAGCCCCCAAGAAGAAGGGCTTTGAGGAGGAGCACAAGGACAGCGATGACGACAGCAGCGACGACGAGCTGGTGAGGCCCACGCCCTCCTGTCAGACAAGGTCTCCAGAGGGGCCTGGTGAACGCTGGCAGAGGGGAATCCCTTTGGCGGCTGAAGGTTTGGGGTGAGCGGGCGGTCTGATTGACATCGACGAGTCCTGCTCAGAGAGAATTGTCCTGTCCTAGGAGAAGAAGCCAGAAGCCCCGAAGCTGTCCAAGAAGAAGTTGCGCCGAATGAACCGCTTCACTGTGGCTGAGCTTAAGCAGGTGAGACCGAGCTGGGCCAGCGGGCGCTGGAGCTCAGAGGCCCCGTCGGGAGTTTTGCTTGGGGGAGGAGAGATTGGAAGGAGGCCTGGATGACTTCGGTATGGGGCTTTTGAGAAAGAGAAATAAAAAGCTGCAGACCGAAAAGGTTGGGACTCTTTTTTTTCTTTTTTAAAAATATTTTTATTGATTTTTTTACAGAGAGGAAGGGAGAGAGAGAGAGAGAGCTAGAAACATCGATGAGAGCGAATCATCGACCAGCTGCCTCCTGCACACCCCCCACTGGGGATGTGCCTGCAACCAATGTACATGCCCTTGACCGGAATCGAACCCAAGACCCTCCAGTCTGCAGGCCGAAGCTCTATCCACTGAGCCAAACCGGTTTCGGCAGGTTGGGACTATCTTGAGGCGTGTCGTGTTTTCCAGCTCGTGGCGCGGCCCGATGTTGTGGAGATGCATGATGTGACAGCACAGGATCCGAAGCTCTTGGTCCACCTCAAGGCCACTCGGAATTCTGTGCCTGTGCCGCGGCACTGGTGTTTTAAGCGCAAGTACCTGCAGGGCAAACGGGGCATTGAGAAGCCGCCCTTTGAGCTGCCGGACTTCATCAAACGCACAGGCATCCAGGAGATGCGGGAGGCCCTGCAGGAGAAGGTGAGGGTCTGGTTGGGGCTCAGACCTGCTCTCGGGGAGCCATGTCCTTAACAGCAGCCGGCTTCACACCTGGGTCTTGTTCCCAAAACTCACCTTCTTGTTTGTTGTCTAATTATCCGTTCTCGACTTCCAGAAGTCAGCCCTGTATGTGACACAGAGCAAGAAGGGCAGTCCCCACCTCTGTGCTCAGAACTAGCTCTCTGCCCCACCCAGAGACTCTGGTTCTGAGCGGCTCCATTGGCTTCCTGTCTCCTGTCCCCTCTGCCTGCACTTGCCCAGCTGTCTGTGGTCTGTACATGGTGCCTCCTTTCTCCGCGGGTTGCTTCTGACTTTAGTTCTCTGCCTCCCGTGTGAGCCTGATACATTCTGTGGCTAAATTCATGGCAGTTGTGTGACTTCTTAAATTTGAAATTCGGAATTCTTTGAGTAGGCGGTAGTGGCCGGTCCTACGAAAATTCAGGAGGTATAAAAGTACCAGGTGGAAATTCTGCCTTCCAGCTAGACTGTTGTCTGCCAGTTTTCTCCAGAGGCAACTCATGAGATCAGTCTCTGGATTAAATGGCTTTGAAAAATAATTTATTGACATGAGCTTCATATGATAAGTATATTTTGTTCAACGTGAATCTTATAATTTGAAGGGTTTGAGCAGGAAGGATTTTGGTGACTTTTTGAATGAGATAGATGAGGTTTCACTGTAGCTCTTTTGGGAGTAGGGCCAGATCTGTAAGAGTTGGACTTGCTAAATCCCTCTTAAGGTATGTCTTGCCTTTCTCCACAGGAAGAACAGAAGACTATGAAGTCAAAAATGCGCGAGAAGGTTCGGCCTAAGATGGGGAAGATCGACATTGACTACCAGAAGCTGCATGACGCCTTCTTCAAGTGGCAGACCAAGCCAAAGCTGACCATCCACGGGGACCTGTACTATGAGGTTTGGGAGGTTTGGGAGTGGCGACCAGGGAGGCAAGGCTGGGCCTTAGGTCACAGCTCTGTAACTCTTGGTTGGAAGGGCTTTTTATTTATTTAATTTTTTAAAAATACATTTTTATTGATTTTTTTACATAGAGGAAGGGAGAGAGATAGTTGAGTTAGAAACACCGATGAGAGAGAAACATCAATCAGGTGCCTCCTGCACACCCCTCACTGGGGATGTGCCCATAACCAAGGTACATGCCCTTGACCGGAATCAAACCTGGGACCTTTCAGTCTGCAGGCCGACACTCTATCCACTGACCAAACTGGTTTCGGCTGGAAGGGCTTTTTAAAAAATCTCAATATCTCTCTCTCTTTCTCTCTCTCTCTCTCTCTCTTTTTTTTTTTTTTTTTTTTTTTACTGATTTTAGAGAGAGTGAGAGAGAGTTAGAAATATCGCTGAGAGAAACATTAACATTGATTGTCTTCCTCTTGCATGCCCCCTGCTGGGGGTCAATTCTGAAACCCAGGCATTGGGAATCAGACCAGTGACCTCTTGGTGTATTGGTCTATGCTCAACCACTGAGCCACATTGGCTAGGCTGGAAGGACTTCTGAAGTCGGAACACTGGCCTCTCCCCTCAGCCTCAGATTGTCCATTAACTCTCCGTGAATGGGATGGAATTTGAAATCTTCCAATGAGGCATTTTTTTTTGGAGAGAAGCAAACTGTCTTTGAAATGATACTTATATTGGGTGGTTTAGGGACGGGGCAGATGCTTATAGGAGACATTTAATACTGGGGTCGGAGAAAACTTTTTGTTTCTAATCCTTAAAATATTAATGACTATGGTTCCCTGGAGTTTTTGAGGTGGAAGGATCTTGGCAATCACCCGGTCAAATGCCTTCATTTTATAGACGAGAAAGCAGGTCCGGAATTTGCCCGTGTTTTCCTAGTGGGTTAATAATAGGACTGGCGTCTTGCTTTTCCTCCTCCTTCCTGGCCTTATTCCTGAGCCGCCTCTTGCTGGGAAGGAAGCAGTGAGAATAGAGGGAATGAGGCAGCCTCAGTGGGCTGTGTATCTGCTGTGAATCGGGACTTCTCACCTTTGTTCTCCTGTCCTCTTGCCATTGAGGTCCCCAGAGTGTCTGGTGTTCACAATACAGCCTGCTCTGCTTTCTCCTCAGGGGAAGGAGTTTGAGACACGCCTGAAGGAGAAGAAGCCAGGAGATCTGTCCGATGAGCTGAGGATTTCCTTGGGGATGCCAGTAGGACCAGTGAGTGACGGGCAGCGGAGAAGAGGGTGGCAATTGGAGCGGAAGGGAGATTAGGGGATAGGGCTGAGTAAATGGTATTTTGTTCTCTTTTTTCTGCAGAATGCTCACAAAGTTCCTCCCCCGTGGCTGATTGCCATGCAGCGATACGGACCGCCCCCGTCGTACCCAAACCTGAAAATCCCTGGGCTGAACTCACCCATCCCTGAGGTGAGCGCTGTCCTTTCTTTCATTCTTAGCTGGCTCTGCTGTTAGAGGGTGTATTTTTTTTTTCATTCCACCATTTTTATTTTTTGTTTAAAGAAAAAATGTTTAAAGAAAAGAGTAATGGGTTTTGTTTTAAAAAAATATTTTTTATTGATTTTGTACAGAGAGGAAGGGAGAGAGATAGAGAGTTAGAAACATCAATGAGAGAGAGTCATCGATCAGCTGCCTCTTGCACACCCCCTACTGGGGATATGCCCGCAACCAAGGTACATGCCCTTGACCGGAATCGAACCCAGGACCCTTCAGTCCCCAAGCCGACGCTCTATCCATTGAGCCAAACCGGTTTCGGCTGGATTTTGTTTTTTAAAAAGCCCGACATTGCCTTGGCTGGTTTGGCTCAGTGGATAGAGAGTTGGCCTGCAGACTGAAGGGTCCCTGGTTCGATTCTCAACAAGGGCACATGCCCGGGCTATGGGCTTGATCCCCATTGCGGGACGTGCAGGAGACAGCTGATCAATGATTATCTCCCATCATTGATGTTTCTATCTATCTCCCTCCCTCTCTGAAATTAATAAAAATATATTAAAAAGAAAAAGAAAAAAAAAAAAAAAGCCTGACATGACCCTAGCTAGTTTGGTTCAGTGGATAGAGAGTTGGCCCGTGAATTGAAGGGCCTGAGATTCAATTCCATCAAGGGCATGTACCTAGGTTACAGGCTCGGTCGGGGTACATGCAGGAGGCAACCAATGGATGTGTCTCTCATATATCAATTTTTTCTTTCTCTGTCTCTGCCCTTCCATTCCATTCTCTTAAAAAAAAAAAAAAAAAAAAGGCAATAGAAAAATATCCTCAGATGAGGATTAACAAAAAAACAACAACAAAACCTCACCCCAAACAAACCAAACAATCTGATATGCTCATATAAAATAATCAGAATTGACAAATACAAAGATGAGAAAAAATCACCCACAATTGCGCCTCAGAAATACTTGGACTTCAGTGAATGTGTTTCCAGATATCTCTCTGGTTTATATGTGGATAGTTACATAGAAATAATTTCATGCCAGGAATGGCATTAAATTCATTCCTTTTTTTTTTTTTTTAATGTATTTTATTGATTTTTTACAGAGAGGAAGGGAGAGATATACAGAGTTAGAAACATCAATGAGAGAGAGTCATCGATCAGCTGCCTCTTGCACATCCCTACTGGGGATATGCCCGCAACCAAGGTACATGCCCTTGACCGAAATCGAACCCAGGACCCTTCAGTCCCCAAGCCGACACTCTATCCATTGAGCCAAACTGGTTTTGGCAAATTCATTCTTATTTTTAATTAAAAAGCATTAAATTAAAAAATTAACAGACAACAAAGTAAATGGAGCGAAAAAGAAGTAATTGTTAAGCTTCAGAAAATTTTAAGAGAAATATATTCTAAAAGCTTTCCAAAAGTGAGGAAAGAAATTACTGAGAAGTGGGAGTCATGTGTTTTAAAGAACATGTTTCAGTTTCAGACACTGGATTCTACCACAAATGCTGAGGTCACTCACATATTTTCTGACTCCCAGCTCCCCATTCTATTGCTTCCAGATTTTTTTTAAAAATATATTTTATTGATTTTGTACAGAGAGGAAGGGAGAGAGATAGCGAGTTAGAAACATCGATGAGAGAGAGTCATCGATCAGCTGCCTTTTGCACACCCCCTACTGGGGATGTGCCCGCAACCAAGGTACATGCCCTTGACTGGAATCGAACCCGGGACCCTTCAGTCCCCAAGCCGACGCTCTATCCACTGAGCCAAACCGGTTTCGGCTGCTTCCAGATTTTTGTTGCTTAATACTTTTGCTCTATAATGCTTTGATAACAGTAATCCTTCTCTGAAATCATAATTTCCAGAGTTCCCAAAGTGCAGACTTTTTCCTAGGGCGTCGGTGTTTCTGTAGGAGCTGGCAGGAGAATGACTTGTGTTTACTGTCTTGCAGAGCTGTTCCTTTGGGTACCATGCTGGTGGCTGGGGCAAACCCCCCGTGGATGAAACTGGGAAACCACTCTATGGGGACGTATTTGGAACCAATGCCGCTGAGTTTCAGGTATGGGCCGTGGCTGGCAAGCTTAAGCCTTACTTAAGGTCACGAAGTTTAGAGATAGTTTGTAGTTTGATTATCATTGAGCTGGGTGTTGTGAATTCTCAAAATCTGAAGAAGGGCATGCATCTTTCTGAGTTGTGGTGCAAATCAAACCCCGCACTAGAACATGAGCTCTCTGGGCGGAGCGTATCTGTGTGTTCTTCTGTCAGGATCAGTTTCCTTTTACAGCAGCTCGATACCTACTAGGTAGTAAACATCTGTTGAATGATCAGCAATCTCTTTCAGACCAAGACTGAAGAAGAAGAGATTGATCGGACTCCGTGGGGGGAGCTGGAGCCATCTGATGAAGAGTCTTCGGAAGAAGAGGAAGAGGAGGAAAGTGATGAAGACAAGCCAGATGAAACAGGCTTTATTACCCCTGCAGACAGGTGGGGATGCAGAGTCTGCCTCTCTGAACTAGTCTGTCTGTCTTTGGGGACTTTCTCTTTACTCCAAGCCGTGTTCCTCTCTTTACAGCGGCCTCATTACTCCTGGAGGATTCTCATCAGTGCCAGCTGGAATGGAGACTCCTGAACTCATTGAGCTGAGGAAGAAGAAGATTGAGGAAGCGATGGATGGGTGAGAGAATCAGGCAGGACCGAGAAGGGAGGACTTCCTCTTTCCTTCAGTTTCTAGGCTGACTTGTTGACATTTGCTAAACCCCCCTCCACACACACACACACACACACACACACACACACACACACACACACTCACATACAAAATTATTGAATACCAACTCTGTGCCAGGCACTGCTCTAGATGTGGGGACTGAGCAGTGGAAAAGACAGGCAAGATAGACTCATGAGAGAACAGGATAATTTCCGATGTGGAGAAGACAGTGAAGGAGAGGAAACTGGGTAATGGGATGTAGAAGGATTGGATGGTGGGAAGTATTTTTAAAAAAATATATATTTTATTGATTTTCTACAGACAGGAAGGGAGAGGGATAGAGAGCTAGAAACGTCGATGAGAGAAACATCGACCAGCTGCCTCATACACACCCCCTACCAGGGATGTGCCCACAACCAATGTACATGCCCTTGACTGGAATCGAACCTGGGACTTTTCAGTCCGCAGGCTCTATCCACTGAGCCAAACCAGTTTCGGCTGGTGGGAGGTATTTGAGCTGAGAGCTGGATTTTAGGAAAAAGCCAGTCACAGGATGATGGGGGCAGAAGGAACTGTAAATACAAACTGAAGGCCCTAAGCCAGGCACAGGTTTTGATGGTCATGCATTTTGAAGCCCTGTTATTAGGTATATAAATGTGTGGCAGTAAGTCTTCTAGATGAATTGACCCCTTTTTTCATGAAATGATTTCTTTCTTGGTTCTGTTTTTTTTTCCTTTTCCCCATTTTCCTATTTTTTGGATTAATTGCATATTTTTTTATGGTTCCATTTTATCTCCTTTTTTGACTTAGCAACTGTGTTTTATTATTTTAGTGATTGCTTTAGGGTTTAGAATGTCTGTCTTTATCATAATCTGTCTTCAAGTGATATACCACTTCAATTAATATTAAGAACCTTACAAAAGTGTACTTGCATTTCCTCTCCCAACTTTTGCAGTATTTTCATTCTTTTTACTTTTACATGTTATAAATCCTACACTACATGATTATTAGTTAATTTTACTTTAATGGTTAATTATCTTGTAGAGAGATTTAAATAATAAGAATCATATATTACTAACTGACATAATTACCATTTCCAGTGTTCGTTCTTTTCTTTGTATATATCTAGGTTGATGTCTGGTATCATTTTCTCTCTGCTTGAAAGTCTTCTTTCAGCATTTCTTGTTGCGAGTCTGCTGGTCATGAATTCTTTTTGCTCTTGCGGTCTAAAAATGTCTTCATTTGCCCTTTTTGAAAGATTTTTGTCAGGTATAGGATTCTAGATTGACTTTTTTTCTTTCAAGTACTTTAAAGATGTTGTTCTAGTGTCTCATTGTTTCTGATGTGAAATCTGTCTTCATCCTTTTCTTCCTCTGTGCATGTTAATTTCCTCTGGCTGCTTTTAATATTTTCTTGCTGTTTTGAACAATTCAATTATGCTATGCAGTGTAGGATGGAATATTGTGTGGTTTTTATGTTGTTTTTTTTTGGAATTTTGTTAAGTATCTTGAGTCTGGATTTATAGTTTTTATTAACTTTGAAAAAATTGTGGCCATTATTTCTCCAAATATTTTCCCCCCCTCTCCTTTGGAAGTATCTTAAATCTGGATTTATAGTTTTTATTAATTTTAGAAAAATTATGGCCATTATTTCTCCAAATATCTTTTTCTTTTCTCTTCTTTGGGAACTCTACATTTCTTTTAGATCTCTTAAAGTTGTCCCACTGCTTACTGATATTTTAAAAAATATCTCTTTTCTTTTTGTACTTCCTTTTAGAAAACTTCTGTTCATATGTTAATGTTTTTTCTGCAGTTTCTAATCTGACTTGAATTACATCCAATGTAGTCTTTATCTCTAGCCTTAAGATTTGGGTCTTTTTATATCTTCTGTATCTCTTATTTAACATTTGAACATATGGAATGCAGTAATAATAACACTTTATTGTACTTACCTGCGAATGCCAACTGTGCCTGCTGTGCCAGTTCTGGGTTGATGTAAATTGATTATTTTTCTCATTAAGGATTGTATTTTTCTGCTTCTTTGCATGCCTGTTAGGTTTTGATTGGATGCTAGGATTTGTGAAATGTCCCTTGTTAGGTACAGGATATTTTTGTATTCCTGTAAATCTTTAGCTTTGTTCAGGGATATAGTTCAAGTGCTGAAAACAGTTTGGTTCTTTCAGGTCTCGCTTGTCAGATTAGGCCAGACCGAAGCATGTTCAGTCCTCTGCATTATTGAGGCACAGACACTCTGCATACTTAGCTCAGTGCCCTGTCTACCAGGAGTTCACTCTGCCCAGTGGGCGAGGCACTCTTCCCCGAGGACGAGGCAGGTATTGTTACCCATGATCCTTGCAGGTGGCTCTCTCCCCGGGCTGTGTAGTTCCTCACCTGCATACTCACCTGGGTACTTGGGGGACCCTCTGTAGGTCTCTTGAGTTCTCCAGTCTTGGTCTCCCTGCACTTCCAGCTTCATCCTTTCAACTCATGGAGACCTCTGGTTTCTACATGGGTTACTCCTCTCCGTGTAGTAGGCTGGGCAATTGAAGGGTTCATCTCATTTCTTAACCTGTCTCTCAGGAATCACCGTCCCTCCTTGTCCATGTCCACTATTGTACCGCTTCCAGATAGTATTAAGAAGCTTACATCTATTTTCCCCATTTTGGGGGCTTGTTTCAGGGGGAGTGGGTACATCTAGTCCCTCTTGCTCCTTGTCGGAAAGCAGAAGTCTCAAGTTTTGCATATTTAAGAAAGAGAAAGAAAGAAGGGTACTGTGGTTGAGTATAGTGAGCAGGAAATAGGTAAGGGGCTGGATTATGAACTCTTCAGACCATGGTAGAGTTTGGACTTTATTCAAATTACAATAAAAAACCTCGGGTTTGAGCAAAGGAAGGACAGCATCTGAGTGCCATTTTAAGGTGTTAGCTCTGGCTGCTGTTGAGAACAGATTGTCACCTCTTCCGGGGGAGAAGTAGGGATGAAGCCGTGTCTGGGTTGATATATGTGGATTTGCTCTTGTGTTTCAAATGTGGTGAGACAGGCTATAGGTGGTTTTTGCACCCGTGGAAGGGCTGGGAGTTTGAGTTCTGTGTGTTAAAGCTCCAGGCACAACGTTGGGCAGGAACTGCTGCAACCTCTTCTCTCCTGCTAGCTTCCCGAAACCAGCCATCTTTTGGAAAGTTTCAGCCGCTGACTCTTAGCCCTTTGCATGTGGTCTTTGGTCTTTGATACCCTAAACTTGGTGGTCCTTTAACTCAGCCTCTGTACTTCTTCCGGGCTGTATTCCCCAGAATTGGCACCAACCCAGTTCTATCCTCTCACGGCAGCTTGTGCATCATTTTCTCCCCTGGGTGTCTCGGAATATCTCCATGGCGCGGGGTGAAGGTGCTGTCTGTGTTCCTTCTGCTTCTGCTTCAGGAGGCCCCTTCATCCCTTCCATTTTGGGTTTGACCCCCTTGTGTTTTGCAGAAGCGAGACACCTCAGCTGTTCACTGTGCTACCAGAGAAGAGAACGGCCACCGTTGGGGGAGCCATCATGGGATCGACCCACATCTATGACATGACCACGGTGAGTGCTCGGAGGGCACTGCTTTAGGGGCTCTTCCGGGGAGGAGGCAGGCTTCTGAGCCTCTCTTTGGAGATGACAGAGCTCTGATCCCTTTTTCTTTTCGGATCACTTTTCTAGGTTATGAGCCGGAAGGGCCCGGCCCCTGAGCTGCAAGGTGTGGAAGTGGCTCTGGCGCCCGAAGAGTTAGAGCTGGACCCCATGGCCATGACCCAGAAGTATGAGGAGCATGTACGGGAGCAGCAGGCACAAGTGGAGAAGGAAGACTTCAGTGACATGGTGGCCGAGCATGCTGCCAAACAGAAGGTAGGAGCTCCCACCAGAAGCCCGGGCTGGGGCCTGGGCCTCCTTTTTCAGCCGAGTGGGGCCCCCTAGTGGTGAGTGTGCGGGAGGACTCTGCCTGCTGTCCTGAGCTTCCTTGGTGCTGGAAGCTTCCTTAGAAATGCTCTGGGGGGGCTGTCCTCCTGACGGATGATGAAATAGGCACAGGGAGGGGCGGGAACTTATACACGTCTGAGAATCCAGTTTCAGCACTTTCTCCACAGACGTATGTGGCTGTGTCAGGCTGTCCACTCTTTGTTTTGGGGATCAGTGGGTGGTTGAACCTGTTCTAACCTGTTTCTCTTTCTCTCTAGCAAAAGAAACGGAAAGCTCAGCCTCAGGACAGCCGCGGGGGCAGCAAGAAATACAAGGAGTTCAAATTTTAGGTCGCCCTCACACCTCCAGCCCGCCTGCAGGCTCGCTGCGTGGTTGCCTGGGCTTCGCACATGGGTCCCCACGAGCCAGCTCTCCCACATTCCCCAGGGCTTGTCACTCACGTTCTTATTTTAGACCTGTTTTGTAAATAAAGCTGTTTCCCAAGGAAAGAGACTGCATATGTAACACTCCTGCTCTTCCTTCATCTTTTAGTCCCCTCCTGCAAATGGACTAAAACAGCCCTTTCCACACCTTCAGGGCGGCCCCAGGGCACACACCTGGGTCCTGTGTGGCAGCTGAGACTGGTGATAAGGCCAGAGTGTGCAGAAATGCTTTTACCACTGCCTGCCTTTTAGGAAGGTCCGGTGTGACCTTACTCCTTTGTCCTTGGGGGCTAAAATAGCCAGCTTAGCACCCGGCCGGGCGGAGGAGGTTCAGTGGGCTTGGGAAGTAGGCCAGGTCTGGCCTTCCTAACAGACCTGTGGTCAGAAGAGCCCAAGTCCTTAGCCGACAGACAACACAGATGGTCCTTGAGTCTGTATGATCCCGTGGGTGGTGTCCGTCACCCCGCCTCCAGGCTTTGGTGTGTATGTGGTGGGGCGGGGTTGGGGGCTTGCTTTCCTGGTTCCCATCCCGATTAGACTACACAGGGTTGCCAGCTGGGTTAAAGGCCTTTGCCAGCGCCCGGCGACATTGCTGCTGAACCGCTTGCATCGGTGTAAGCGCCCACAGAATGAGGTGCTGGAGCAGAAGTGGGAGACCCCACGGGGGAGGTGCTCGTTGAGCCAGGCTTTGGGCGGAATAGGATTTTAGATTTCCTGAGTGAAGTGGGAAGAGCATTCCAGGAGGAAATGGGGGGGCGGGTCTTGGCCTGTGACGGCTCTGGGAGGGGCTGCGGGGACTAGGAAGGCTGGCTCCCGGGCCGGACCTTTAGGGTCCTCGGGGCCGCGGGCCTTTGGGGCTCAGGTCCCCCGGCTCCCACCCTGGAGGGAGGCGGGCGGCGGCGGCCAGGCCCGCGGCGGGAAGGCGCTGCCATTCCTCCTAGCCCCGCAGCCCGAGGCCGAGGCCGCTCCCGCCAGCCCTCTCCGCCGGGCCGCGCCCCGGAAAAGCGGGTTTCCGCTGCCCGGCCGCTGCGCCGGGGGGCGGGGAGCCGGGAGGCCGCGGCCGCTGACACCGGAGCGCACGGGAGGCCCCTGCGCGGCCGCCGACCCCTCTCCTCCGGGAGCGGGCGCGGGAGCCGAGCGAGGGGCCGCCCGCCGCTGGGTGGGGCCGCGCGGCCGGACACGCCCACTCGGTGCCGGCGGGGCCGCAACAGGCGGCGCGAGGGCTGCGCCGAGGCCGCGCCTGCGTGCAGCCTCCGCGCGCTCGGCGGGCGCTGAGGAGGCCGGTGAGGAGCCCGGTGAGGAGGCCGGTGAGGAGCCCGGTGAGGAGGCCGGTGAGGAGGCCGGTGAAGAGCCCGGTGAGGAGCCCGCTGAGGAGCCCGGTGAGGAGGCCGGTGAGGAGCCCGGTGAGCCCGCCGCCGGGAGCAGCCGGCCGTCCTCGGCGCCGCTTCGGTCCCCGTGACCCCGCGCCTCACGCCCCTCACGCCGGCCATGGCGGAGCGCGGAGGGGCGGGCGGTGGTCCCGGCGGGGCGGGCGGCGGCGGCCAGCGCGGCTCCGGGGTCGCCCAGTCCCCGCAGCAGCAGCCGCCGCCGCAGCCGACGCCGCAGCCGACGCCCCCCAAGCCGGCCCAGGCCGCCTCGTCGTCCACGTCCACCTCGGCGGTGGCCGCCTCCTCCTCGTCCTCGTCCACCTCCACCTCCATGGCCGTGGCGGTGGCCTCGGGCTCCGCGCCCCCCGGCGGCCCGGGGCCCGGCCGGCCGCCCGCCCCGGTGCAGATGAACCTGTACGCCACCTGGGAGGTGGACCGGAGCTCGGCCAGCTGCGTGCCCAGGTGAGCGGGGCGGGCCGGGCGCCGCCTCCCCGGCCCCCTCCCAGCCCCTCCGACACCCCTCCCGCCGCCCCGCCGGCCCGGCAGCTTCCTGCCGCCCGCCCTCCCGCGGCCCCACCTTCCGCCCGACCCCTCCTCCCGCGCCTGGGCTTCCCGGGGCCTTCCTCCCGCGGCCGGCCTCCCGGGAGGCGCACTCCCCTCGCGGTGCCGTGGGCTGCACACACCTCACACACACGGTATAGACACCCCACACACGGTATAGACACCCCACACACGGTATAGACACCCCACACACGGTATAGGCACCCCACACACGGTATAGGCACCCCACACACGGTATAGGCACCCCACACACGGTATAGACACCCCACACACGGTATAGACACCCCACACACGGTATAGACACCCCACACACGGTATAGGCACCCCACACACGGTATAGGCACCCCACACACGGTATAGATACATCACACACGGTATAGATCTCCTCTGATCTATACACCCCACACACGGTATAGATATATCACACACGGTATAGACACCCCCACACGGTATAGGCACCCCCACACACGGTATAGACACCCCACACACGGTATAGATCTCCTCTGATCTATACATCACACACACGGTATAGATACATCACACACGGTATAGGCACCTCCCACACACGGTATAGATCTCCTCTGATAATCCCAACGTCTCCGCACCTGCCAGACGCTGTCACTGCCAGTGAAGCCATATCCCAGCCCCGGGGCCCTGTTCGCCCGCAGCTCACAGCCCGCCCTGCCCGCGGTCTGCAGAAGTCCTGCCTGTGGACTGTGCTGGAAGCGTGTTCCTCCTCCCTCCTCCCCCTCCGGTCACCGCCACAGACCCCAGCCCTGCGGGGCCGCACGAAGGCGCTGCCTTGTTCCTAATGCGATCCATTCCTATCTGCCGGACATCTGGGCCTTTCCTCCCCGCGGTAAAACTTGCCCGCCTTTGGGATATTTTATTTCTGTATCGCACGGCCATCTCTGTCCAGCTGTTTGGGGACAGTGTGCATGGCTCCGAGTGTGCCCCCTGAGTAGACAGACAGCGGGGCTGGTTTTGCTCAGGAAGCCCGGACCAGTGCCTGGAGGCGGTCTGTTCGTCACCGCTGAGTGATTCTGTGCCTTGGAGCCTTGGGTTCACTTTTTACTCTGTCGGCCCATTCCCCCCTCTTTATTTTGAGTTATTTCATACATACACAGTTACACACACACACACACACACACACACACACACACACACACCCTAGATAGACCGGGTGTTAAAAAATGATGAGGAGCCCAGCCTGTGGCTCAGCAGTTGAGCGTCGACCTATGAACCAGGAGGTCATGATTGGATTCCTGGTCGGTTGGGCATATGCCTGGGTTTTGGGCTCAATTCCCAGTGTGGGCGTGCAGGGGGCAGTTGATAATGATTCTCTCTCATCAGTGGTGTTTCTATTTCTCTCCTTCTTTCTCGCTCTCTGAAATCAATAAAAATGTATTTTAAAAATGATGAGTTCATCGCTATAGTTGACTGAGCTTAATAGAGCATTGCACTCAGGTTGCCCCTTCCTTATCACATCTCCTTCTTCCCCCGAATGGTAAACATTATTCTGAATTGTGTGTTTATCATTTTCCTTGTCTCTTAAAACTGTTTTATTATATGTATGCACTTCTAAATAATGTTTTCAGACTTGGAATGTTTTTGAAGTTTGTGTAAATGCTGTATGTTCTGCGACCTATTTTAGTGAGGGTTTGTTATATTTTTTTTGACTTAACATTATGAGAATGACTTTTAAGGTAGCTGTAGTTTGAATATTTTCACTAATGGATAGAATTTCATTATACGAATAAGTCATAACTCTCCCTTTGATGAACATTTGGGTTGTTTCCTGTTTGTTTACATAAACAGTCATAGGTACCTAAATGTTTTTGTCCAGGACTCCTGGCGCTCCTTGCAGAAGTTTCTTTCAGTTGTCCTTCCATGCAGGGATGGGATGTCTTTGCAGGGCACGTACCTCTGGAACTTTTAATGATTATGCTTCTCTGTTTTCCATTTGCCCCACTCTACTCTTCAGGGCCTTTGTGTTTAAATTTACTGATTCACTTTACCGACTTACACCTTTTTCTCTGTAGGGTAATCAGTCTGGCACAGCTCCAAACTCAGGTGTTCGTCTCTTGTCCTAAGCAGGCCTCTCTTTTTTATAAGCCCGTCTCTAGCTGAAGCATTCTAAGCTGCGTCTTTCAAACACAAAAGCACTGTGCCTTCCCACATGGAACCAGTGTGTTAGCACATGCCTGCCCATGCTTCCTTCACATCTACCCTATGCGTGGTGATATTCGGAAGCTGCCTTCTCTAGCTGTTAGATGGAAAGGAATAAGCCGATTGGAAAGAAGTTGCTGTGCAGCCGGGGTGGGAGGTGAGGGTGAGGGGGGATGGGGGATATAAATAAAATCACTAATGCTTTTGATTTTTGGCCTGCTCCATCTAGTCACTGAAAAGTTGATGTTTTAAGAAGTTATTAGCCCAAGAAACAGCCAGACATCCTGATCACATCGGTAGTGGTTATGCTGCCTCGGTGTGAGAGGCTTAGGCTGCCTTGCTTTCACCTGCGGGGGTTTGCCGTATGTCCTGTCCGCTGGCCAATCCTTGCGGCTGTCAGCTGTCCTGTCTGACTTTGTTCTTCAGCTGACATCCGTGTGCTCCCAGCTCCTTGTGGAACACTTGTGCTCTCTGGACACGCTGTTTTATCTGCAGGCTGGAAAATAACACCCCGTGGGGAGAAAATAGCCCTTCCAGTTATTAGAGTCATCTGGTTAGTTTGAAGTTTCCTTGGTATGCTTCATGTTGTTTAGCATATACAGGCAGTGTGCATTCTGTATATAGTTTAGAATTACATTCTTGTGTAACTCACTGAGACGCAGGCATGAGGTATCTGCACTTAGGACATGTACACATGATTGTGGATTTAAGGTTAACTACATATAAGAATTTTGTGGGATTCAGTCTTGTGAAATGTGATTCTCTACTTAGTGCAGAGAAGAGTTGGAAAGTTGAGTGTTAGGGTGGTCACGTTCCTTTTCTTGATTCCTATAGAAATATAACTTGCTTTTGGAAAAAAAAAAAAGTCCCTTTTTCTTTACTAGAGATTTAAATCAAAATGAGCAATGTAGTTGTTTCTCAGTTACATACTCTGCCTTTATTTAACATGTACTGCATTCCCTCAGATCCTATAGTCAATTTTTAAATCATAAGAGCCAATTGTATTTCCCAGTGATGACCTCTGGAGAGTGAGATCAGAGATAAGCTTAGAGCTTTTTATGAGCAGTAGGTCTATTATAGTTCTTTTGTGAAGTTGGCATTGTTTTCCCTCCATAGTAAGTAGTACTTCTCTACCTGTGGTCTATGGTATGTATAGTAAGTAGTGTGACATCATGTGACATGTTTCTTGATGTTAAAGAAAGGATTTTAGTGTCATAGTTATCCCTTCTCTTTGGTCTTTGTGTGAAGTTTTCCTGATGTTTCCTGTTTTTGAATTGCTTAAGTAGGAGAGGCGGAAAAATTATTAAATTTCACAAGTATACAACATTTTCTCAGTGATGTAAACTATTAGGAGTCAAAAAGTGCTCTGCTGCATCACTTATAGACTGTATCACATTTGTCCTTTAGCAAAGATCATTTGCATATCCTTATTTGTACCTGTACTTAGGGAAAGAGTTCAGTAGTTATTAGTCACATTTCTCCTTAGACTTTTTTTTAAGTGGGTACTGAAGTTAAACCTTATTGTACAGAAGTGTGAGAGCCGAAGGAGGTGGCCATGACTAAGTTGGCATGACTGGTCTGCAGTGGAAGTGTTTTATGAGGGCACTTGGGGGCAGTTGTCCCTCTAACCACAAAACCAGGAGGCAAGTCAGGATATGTTACTCTGTATCCTTGTTGTAAACCGGGGCAAATTCTTCCATACTTTAGATTTTTCATCCAGTGATTAGGAATACTTATACTTACCATCTATTCCAAGATGTGGGGGAAATAAATATAAAATAGGACCTATAGATCCACAGGAGAAAGTACTTAAATGATAGTTATAAAGTAAATATAATTGATCAAATAAGGGAGACCTGGTGAAATTTCTATTATTTCCCTAGCATTAAAAGTCTTCAAAGCATATTTGTACCTTAGAAGATTTGAATTTCACATTTTGAGTGTTGTTATAGGATATCCTCTTTGGTGGGGTAATATTATCCCTCATCCCTTTGGAAGCTCAGATTCCTTAAGGCAGAAAGAGAATGACTTTCACAGAGTCCGTTTTACATGGATTGATTTACAGATCTTTTGGACACAGTGGTTTTGTGATTTCTTTTTAAACCGGTTTTTCATTTTCTTAGCTGTGCCAGTAAGCCACCTGTTATTATTAGTACTTGCCTGGATGTGCATGAGGGAGGTGCAAGTCAGAAAATGTGTGGGCTTTTCACCCCAGGAAGCCTCATCCTGCTTTGGCCTGGACTCGAAGGCTGAGTGGGTCCTCTGAAATTTGCAGTCAGCTTGGCTCGCATCTGCCGCATCACGTTCTGGGGTGATGTGGGAATGATTGCAAGAGCTGGTTTCATCCCAGACTGCTTTTGGAATGGGATCGAGGGCTCTTGAGAAAAGACAGAGGTTGAAATTATATCATCCTTCAGAGGCTCTTTGATCTGGAATTGAGCAGGGTTGTTGGGCTCTAAATTGACGAGCACTGACAGAATCATCCCTTCTCTAGGCCTAGATAGAAGAATAACCAGCAAAGCTTCTGAAGATTTTAGAAAAACCAAGATATGTCTGGGTACCAACTCTAAAGTGTTTTCCTCTTACTGCCATTCACAGACCAGTTGAAAGCCTGCTGGGCTTATATTCCAATCTTTTATCTTTAAAAAAATATATATTTATTTTATTTAAAAAATATATTTTATTGCTTTTTTTACAGAGAGGAAGGGAGAGAAGTAGAGAATTAGAAACAT